CAAATCGTGCATTTTTCCCCAGCATTTCCGGGTGTGCAAATGCACACAAACGGGGCAGAAAAACATGTCCCGCGTGCCACTCATAAAAGGTGCAGGAGCTGTGCAAATATGACCCCATTGAAATGAATGGGGCCGCATGGCAAACGTGGTGCGCAAACCCGGGGCCGCGCAGATGTGAACCAGGCCTAAGTTTCCTTGGCAGACCACTGTGTATGTGGTCCTCAGCGCTGCCAGTTTCTTTGTGCTTCTTCAAAAAAGCTTTAACCGCACATCTTGAAACCCCAGTCTGCTTTGATATCTTTGCCTGAGAGAGAGCTGATGCAGTAAAACTATCTTGTGTCTTTGGTTAATCATACCCCTGACTCTAATCCTACAAAATCCCTGACATTGTGCAAGTGTAAAGCTGCCCATACACCTTACGAATATCGGCTGATTTTCCTATGTGATCGCGTTTTAGTCCGATATTCGTAAGGTTGATGGGCAGTGTACCACCGCAATTACTGTACAATCTATCGGCTTTTGACTAAAAAGCCGGTTAGAAAACTTTGGTCGATCGTACGATTTTCGCAAGGTTGGTGGCGTTTCCGTACGTCAAAATGTGTACAATTTACACTGCTCGTGCGCAAATGAAAATATGTGTGGTCGATTACCGCAATTCGTCCAGGTGCTTTTTTTTATTACTGCTGATTGAACCTTGCGGTAATCGGGGGAGGATGGGGCCACCGTACAAAAATCTCACGACTGTTCAATCATCGGACGAAAAGTTTTGTCCGATGATCTCAAGGTGTATATGCAGCTTAAGAATCAATGCTGATTTGAAGCCAAAGGGTAGTCACACCAAATATTGATTTGATTTAGATTTTTCTTCTGTTCACTTACTTTGCATTTTGCAGATTGATAAAAATAAACAGTAAAAATATATATTTTTGAAAGCATTCTTAATTTACAGCATTTTTTTTCACAGCTGCCTAAAACGCTTGCACGGTAATGTATACTTACACTGTATATACATATGTGCAATGACAATAGCCTTGCCCTTACTGTCTTTTGGTGCGGATAGCCTCTAATAGGGTAGTCGTTAAAGCAGACAGTACACACCATGCAAGGTCCCATCTTTAAATGTGCGCCCCCCCATCCCATCCTCCCTACTGAAATGCTGACTACAAGTGTTAAAAAAAGAAACCTGTAGGGAGAACAAATTTAGATATAATATTTACCTTTCCCCCAGCTTCTATGGTGTAGGGATGATGTTACCATACTGCTGATGAGCCCAGGGGAATGGTGAGTACTCCATGTCTTGCGGGAAAACACTGCTTCACAATGGTGGGATCATCTTCTCAGCAAAATTTAGGCTAGCCCCAGCATTCCCCAGATCTCACCATTAAGAGGATGATGTCACTCTCCCCCAGGATATAGGAAAGTTGATGACTTTTCAAGAGTGTCTCCCATCCTCTGGAACTCCCTACCCCAATCAGTCCGCCTTTCTGCTACTCTGTCCTCCTTTAGGTGATCCTTGAAAACTCATGTCTTCAGAGTACTCTCAGTTATTCCATTAAATCATCCCAAATAGTTATGACCTTTTGTATCACTTGCCCCTCCAAGTAGATTGTAAGCTCTCACGAGCAGGGCCCTCCTACCTCCTGTACTGAAATTGTATTATTAATTGTATTGTCTCCCTCAGTTTTGCAAAGCGCTATGAAAACTGTTGGCGCTATATAAATCCTGTAAAATAATAATAATATTAATAATGGTATACTATATTAACTTTTTTCCCCTATAGGTGTTTTTTTTTAAACAATTTTAGACAGTAGTTTAGCAGGTGGGACAGGGGCTCATTTAGGTGCAAGGTCCGCCGTAAGTACAGGTAGTGTGATTTTTTACAGTTTCATTTCCAACCTGCCCACAACCAGCTATATTGCACATCCAGAGTAAGCTACAATATTTGCCGCTTGCCCACAGCACAGAAACATAATATACAAAATTAAAACCTAGCCTATCCAGCACTAACTACACAAACATACCCTTTCTACCAAGAAAATAGACCTTGTGCCCAAATTCCAATGTTTCTCCTAAGAGCAGCATGCTCTGGCTTTCCCAAGGTTTGTAAAAGACTTGTAAAGGCAGCACCTTCCTTTACACAGCAGTGGCCTAATTGTCCCTAAGTACCCCATCGTGTCAAGAACACACCACACCCTTTCATAGCCAAGGGCTTTCTCAATGCTTTCAGCAGAAATAAATATGTACTGATAGTTTTTTTTTATTTTGGGATTTAAGTCTGGGCAATTAGCTTGAGCTGATGACTAAACTACTGATTAATAATGCCCAGTTGGTTGCACTGATGGTTTTACTGCACATGCTGAGGACTGTCAAATTATCACACTGTTTTTACATGAAGAAGCTATCATTAATACCAGTGACTCTGCTGATTTTAGGATCTTGAGTAAACAGTTCTGCTTTTGACAAGATACATTTATAAATGTTATTTATTTATTTATTTACAATGAACAATTTTATCAGTGTGCCCCCCACAAGTCAAATCCACTTAAACATTCCACTGTTAGCTGTTTCCTTCTTTGCCTTTGGCATGCAGGGGTTATGGTAGGATTTGTACATCTTACCTGAAATTGGTTATTTTAATTTTTTGTAAGAGCTGGTAAAATTAGAAAACTTTTTTTATTGTTTTGGGCAGAGTACTACTTTTTACTACTCTATTTTTAAATGTTGGGGAAGATTTCCTTAACTCTAATCTATGCTTGTGGCAGCAGGCAATGAGACTAGATATAGGCAAATAAATATACAGTAATACCTTGGTTTACGAGCATAATTCGTTCCGGAAGCATGCTTGTAATCCAAAGCGCTTGTATATCAAAGCGAATTTCCCCATAGGAAATAATGGAAATTCAGATGATTCGTTCCACAACTCAAAAATATTCATATAAAATGATTACAATACTGTACTGTAATATAATACTGTACGAAATATAAAGAAAAATAAACCAATTACTGGTACCTTCGTGGCTGGTGTGAAGGGGACAGGAGAGAGGAGGATTATTGTGTATGACAACTTTCACTATCACTAATGGAATCACTCCTATCTCTTGGCTCAATGGAATCTTTTTCATTTTGTGAAACCATAACAAGGAATCTATCCAATGTGACATTGCATTGTCGTTTAAACAGACTCATCGCTCGCACTGCTACAGCCTTATTTGGGTGGTGCTTTTCTACACAATTTTGCTCTTATTGCAAGACATTGCTTGTATATCAAGGCAAAATTTTTCACAAATGTTTACTTGTCTTGCAAAACGCTCTCAAACCAAGTAACTTGTAAACCAAGGTATTACTGTATATGGAATAGGGACAGAAACATGTACATTTCTGAAGGGTTATATGCACTTTTTTTCCACTGAGGATATTAAACTGAACTTTCTTCCCCTTTGACAGTGAACCCCAAGACAAGAAGTGTGTAGTAACCTTCACAATTGGGTTTTCTTCCCCACTGTACCAAATAATGTGTTATGCTTTAATCTTATAGTACACTCATGCAACAGTAGTGTCTGCTTTGTTTACATTACAAATGCCACAGATCTTTTTTAAAGAAAAATGTTAATTTCCTAAAATGTCATATTGTCTTAATAAAGGTAAATGAGGAAAAGGAATGCTTAGGAATAGAATCTGTTAATGATGTTACATGTACAGTATTAGTGCATGCAAGCGTGTATATGCATACTTTATCATGTGCAGCTTTTTGGAGTGCATTGGACAGGAATGTGTCAGGGTCACTTTATAACGTGCAATTAAATATGGGAGGATGCAAACATGACATGTGTCTATAATGAAATCAACAAACTGTCAAAAGGGAAGCTTTCTTCCAACATACATTTATTTATTTAGTCATGTATTTATTTATTATTGGTATTTATATAGTGCCGAAAATGTACGCAGTGTTTGACATAGTTGCACATTCACATCAGTCCCTGCCCTCAAGGAGCTTACAATCTAAGGTCCCTATCTGACAGACACTAAGGGCCGATTTAGATACGAGCCAATCAACCATAGACATTTAAACGTAGTTTTATTTGACACGCTTAGTTTATCATTTCAAGGGCAAAACTTACCTCCCCCTACCAATAACTATGTTAGTAATGAGCAAGAAATTACATTAAGTGCAAGTCAATAGTGCAACATAAGATGTGCTTCTTCTGAAAATAATGTTTTAAGACGATTGTTTCATGAACATGCATGTTTGCATCTCTTACGCATGTATGTTCATGCAGTGGAAGCATGTAGACATTGCTGATGTGAAAATTTGGGATCAGGTGAAAAAACTCTCCCATTTAAAAATGTATTGGAATCCACACAGGGGAGAACTGGGCTGGGTGCAGGGTGGTATTTGGCCCTGGACGAGTATTAATAGGTTATATTGTGCTAGTGGCCCTCAGTGCAGATACTTCACAATTAGGATATCAATCTGACCTGGACCTGCAGTCAGTGACATATGGTGAGCATTATATAGCTGCTTGAATCCTATTCAGATCTGTGATCACAGCTTTTGGCAGATGGAATTTTTTCTTTTGCAGCCCGTAGATGTCATGTGAATTATTTTCAAGAGCTGCAAAAGAAGACTGATGCTCTTGGATGTGAAACACCAACCTTAGTAATAAACTTTGGCCATGGCCACCAATCACTGCAGCACCATGGAACACTTTGTATGGTACACTTTCTTTAGCACACAAAATCCTGTCGCTACCACCGTACCAAGAGCCAGGTGGTTGTGTTGGCCCCCCACTCTGAGCCAAATGTTCCCAATTCCCCCTTTATCCATATCTACCATTGCCTTATCTAGCCAAACTCTGTTGATTGGGCTACAGTCAGCTTGCTTATAGCTGGGCAAATATTTCATTAGTAAAATAATTATGAATGAATAAATGAATGTATAATGAAAATGTAATGTATGGCAATACTCTTAATTATTGTATTTTTGTCTCATTTTTTTTTAGAGCTTAGGCGCAGTGAAAGCCTCTCCGAAAAGCAAGTTAAAGAAGCCAAGTCTAAATGTAAAAGTATTGCCTTGCTGCTGACAGCTGCCCCAAACCCCAATTCCAAGGGGGTGTTGATGTTTAAGAAGCGTCGCCAAAGGGCCAGGAAATTTACCTTGACAAGCTACGGTACTGGGGAACTCGAAAGGCAGGTGGACGACGAGGACGATAACGAGGACGAAGAGGATAAAGAGAATACTTTCAACGTTACATTTTATGGGGCAAGTGAGTCAGATCTAGATGACGATTTCTTTTCAGACCCTGAACTCAACACACAAATCGTAACATTTAACTGGGATACTGGACTTGTAGAGGTTGAAAAGAAACTTAATAGTGGTGACGCAATGGAGGAACTTCCAGAGACCAAAGGTAAAGGGGTCCTCATGTTTGCAAGAAGGAAGCAGAGGATGGATCAGATAACAGCAGAGCAAGAAGAACTCCGGAAACATAGTATGGAAGAGAAGGTGTCTGTCACAGAGAATGTAAATAATACTGTTTCATTTCAGACACAGCAACAGCAGAGCATAAAAATTCAGAGCTGTGTGAGTAAAAGTTATATTGAGGTTAGCAATAGCCAGACAAGAGTACAGAATGGTTTTCCTGCAGCACATGAGGCAATCCCTTCATTTCAGTCTTCATCAAACAAAACCCCGAAACCTTTCGGTGGATCACAGAATAGGGCAGCAGCACCATTTTCTCCTACTAGAAATATAGCAAGTCCAATGTCAGATGTGCCTGGACCACCCCCTTACTCTTCAGTTACTCCACCTCCTGAGCCAAGATTTCAAGTGTCTTCACCAGTGTGTGCCAAAGCCCAAGCAGCTGTATGGGCACCATCATTTTCAACAGAACAAATAGCTTCTAGAGATGAAAGGATCTCAGTTCCAGCCAACAAGACAGGAATTTTACAAGAAGCAAAACGAAGGAGCACAAAACCTATGTTCACATTTAAAGAACAACCTAAAATAAGCCCAAGACCTGAGCTTCTCTCCCTAGTTCAGACCAGAGAAGGCAAACGTAGTGCCGGTAATGAGTCTGGACCTGAGGAAGACTACCTCAGCCTGGGAGCAGAGGCATGCAACTTTATGCAAGCTCATGCTGGCAAGCAAAAAACACCTCCACCTGTTGCCCCAAAACCTTCGGTTAGGTCCCCTACCGCAGTTCCAACATCACCAGTATGGGCACCTCCAATGTCTGCTCCAGCACCACCAGTGATTTCAGTTCAGAATCCACATCATATTGCATCCCCTGTTGAAGATAATGTTGCACAACCAAAATATAATTCTTACAACCCTCAACCTGCTGCTCCAGTATGGGCCCCTTCAACCGCTGCTCCAGCACCACAAGTGTTTTCAAGTCAATTTCCTCCTCAAAGTGCAGCCCCTGTTGAAGTTAATGTTGCACAACCAAAATATAATTCTTACAACCCTCCACCTGCTGCTCCAGTATGGGCCGCTTCAACCGCTGCTCCAACACCACAAGTGTTTTCAAGTCAATTTCCCCCTCAAAGTGCAGCCCCTGATGAAGCTAATGTTGCACAACCAAAATATAATTCTTACAACCCTCCAACTTCTCTTAATTTATCAGGCCCCTTAAGAGGCCCTCCTGCAACAGCTCAAGCAGTAAATCAACTGTATACACCTAAAACGCCTCCTACTACTCCATCAGGAACATCGGCTGTTGGAACAGCTTATGAAATGCCAGCCTTGAGGGGTAAAGGAGCAGAGCTATTTGCCAGGAGACAGTCCCGAATGGAAAAGTTTGTAGTAGATTCAACCACAGTGCAAGAAAAAGCAGCTCGACCACTCTCTCCAACCCCATCTTTACCACCATCTTGGAAATATTCATCCAATGTTCGAGCACCTCCTCCTTTAGCATATAATCCAATACAGTCACCACTTTATCCCCCTGCAGCAAATAAATCTGCTTCCAAAACAGCTTCAGCTGCCAAGAAAAAGCCCACTAAAACACTTAGTGCTCTTCAGGTCATGAAACACCAACCATATCAGCTTAACTCATCTTTGTTTACTTTTCAAGCACCATCTGACACTGCCTCTGATACTGAAGCTCCTAAGAAAAACACTAAGTCAGACTTTGTTTCTTCTACCAAGCAAGCTACATTCAGTAGGCCAGTGAATACTGCTCCTAGTAGTAACTTCATACCAGCACCTGAAAATCCTCAGCCGGCCTACAACATGCAACCTTCCCAAACAAGTGCCTTCAACCAATCCAAAGAAACCTACCCAATCGGCTATCCTATGCAGCCTAGACAAGAATCACCGATAACACCACTGATCGCTCCTCCAAGGCCAAAATTTTCTGCAAAGAAAGCTGGTGTGACAGCCCAGGTGTGGAAACCAGAAGTTGGTGAAGAATAGTTTTGATTTTGGAAATATGCTTCCAAGGAATAGAATAGTTTGCAGTGGTGGGTGACCTGACATACTATGTGTCCTGGATATACTTAATACCATAACACTGTAGCATCCTTTTAATCTGGGTCCAAATCACTAAACTCTTCTAAAAATAAATTGCACGCAGGTTTATCTATCATTATAACTTCAATGCAGTACTTATGTTAATAACACTAGATGCCCCAAATGGATGCCTACAGTTGTATAATATTAAGTAATCAGGACTGTAGTGTTTATGCTTTACAATATAATAGAATCCTATTCACTACATACAGTGCAATTGTACATTAATATATACCTAAGTTGACCCAATTCCCGGTATGTTTTTATAATTTATTTATTATTTTTGTGTCTTCCAATCTTTGCGACTGCAGTAGAAAGCAGTCTGTAAGAAAGTTAGTTCATAAGGATGATAGTGCAGAAACTGAAACGTGCTGTGTGTCGGCAATTTAATTGTAGCCAAAGAATGAGTTTTGACTTATTTATTCTAAAATAACTGAAAGACATTGTATACAAAGTACTGTACGTGATAAGAAACAAAATAGTGAAGGACAAGTGTTGGGTCACTTAATATATATTGTTTTGATCATTACATTTAGAATTATTATTCAGTGAAAACAGTTATTACATAGACACATAGCAGACTGTTCACTGTTCTGTTTTTTGTGCAGTTTACAAAATAGAACTGATTAAAATACAATGAAACAGATATTTGTAAAGGTTTGTAGCTTAAAATAAACATTAAAGTTCCCCTAAACGAAAGTGTAGCGGTAAAACAGAAATATAATCAAAGCAATTTACAAGCTATGCATATGCTAGTGGGTGCTGAGTAAATGTTTTATATATCTATCATTTTGCTATATGAACTTAAACTACATATGGTATGAGGTGTATGAGTCATGTATATAATAAGCAGACATCTGTTGTCACTAAGGCAACTCAATTCCTTGTGAGGTTCTAGTGAAAAAGGATGGTTTGGGATCTGACATAAATGGTGTCACTGACTGGTAGCTTTTTTTTTTTTTTGTAGCGTCACATCTGTAGAATGCAATCCCATCTTTTTATATAACCTACACCAGTGAAAAGCACTATAATTTTTAGGAGCCTAGTATTGCAATTTTTATTAAATAATGGGAAGGATTTTTTTTCCTGTATATATCCGTTTAGATGATTAGTCAAAGGATCACAAATGGCGTTTATAAAGGTAGAATCCTTGTTATATGCACAGGCCACCTGATTACAAGTGACTTTCCTACATTGTACACTACTGTTTAGTCTAAAACAAGAGAAAAAGTCTAAAACATCTATTTTGTTTGTTATAAAACATTCAAATATACTAGTGCCTTATCCTGGTGACAAATTCCTTTTTAAAGCAACTCTTTAAAAAAAAAATCAAAAACAGTGATCATGTAATAGAAGAGTGATGATATTTACCAATCCCACTCTTGCAGAGCTACAGTCACCAAAGATTCTTCAGCAACTGCAGCAGCTGGGGACACAGACATCGGACACCAAGAAGTGTTGAATGCCTACATCCCCAGCTGCTGTGGCTCCTCCTGTCTGCCACTAGGTCACCACTGTACTTCAGCAAAGCTGTAGTGACATAGTGGACAAGGGTTTGAACCACAGTGTGCAGTGGGAGACACAAACATCCAACAGAACTAGAAGTGTTGGATGATGGAGGCTGAACTTTAGCTGGTGTAGCTCTGCAAGAAAGCAAAGATTAGGATCACCAATGCCTTGAATGGGAAGTAGTATTGTTCTGTTTTTACACGCTATCTGTTTTTATTTTTTGTTTTTGTAGCCACAGAGTCACTTTAACCTGGCATGAAAAATGGATGTCTTACAATATTTAAATGCTGAGGTAGCTTTATGAAATATGGGTTTTCTACCATAAGGATCCATCTTGTACTCTTGCGTACTTTTTTCATGTAAATTTTTACAAGTGACATTTTAATCTATATTTTATTGAGCCTATGAATTAGGAAGACAGATTTCATATGCACCCTAATAGCAGAGGAAGCTTTGCAGTTCGGAAAACTTCAAGCCTGAGATATTAGTAGTGTATGTTTGTTGATCTCGGGCATCTTTGCTGCTTTCATATACCTTTATTTCTGAGCAATTGTCATTATCTTTATGTCACTTTTATTTTTTATTCTGCCATCTACATCTTTGATCAGAGAAACTGCCCTGCTTACAAGGATGTAACCTAATAGTTTTGAAACTGAAGAATACATTTGTGTGAGATAAAAACAGAAAAGGAAGTAAATGTTATTTTCTTTTAAGGACAAACATTGCCCAAAAAAATATGATTGTATGTGCAAATATATATATATACCGTATATATATATTTATCACATACACATTGCCCTTAATCCTCCATGTTCATATCCTAAATTCCTCTTTTCTGTTACTGCAGTTATAGTGGGTGTCTAAATATGACCACAGTCCAATAGTCACTAGGGTTAGACCAATTGCACACAGTTATCAGCGTTCAGTAAAAGTCCTGGTGGTGCCCACCCTCTCCTTCTCCTCTTTCTACACTTGTCCTGAGGGTTTGTCTTATGCTCAGCTCTGCCAGCATAGAGCACTGGAGTGACAGAAATGTTGTAGCATTCTCACTTAGAAAATGTTTAAGCAAAAATTAAGTTCCCCTCATAATATGTGAGGGGTACAGGACTACAGGTAGATAAAAGTGATTACAATTTTGGCTTTATATGAGTACCCATATGTAAAATATACAGTAATAAGAAAGATGAAAACACAATACAAGTTTAATATAACATTGCCCTGAATTATATGTACACATAGCAGATTTTATTAAATTGCAAAAAAGAAACCGCATGCCTGTTCTGTGCTGCAGATACAAAAGTGCACTTATTATCTTTATTATAATTATTATTATATTATTGAGTGCTAAAATAAGGCCCTTAAACACCTTGCTTTATGAATAATCACTAAGGCACCATATGGAAGGCCCCACCAAAATGCTGTTGGTTTTTAAGCTGTAATAGTTGTCTAGGATACTTTGATCAATTCAAATTCTAATTATTTAATTCAGATCTGACCAGGGCTTTAATATGCCCATCAATACGATCATTTTCACACCTACTTGCAGTTAATGTTAGAATCTACTACTTAGCCACTTGAGAAAGAAGGAAAGTAATCAGCAATACAGGGCCCGTCTTGACTTTGGCACTACAGCTTCTTGTAGTTACAAGCTCCAGTAGAAAACTTTCCTAGTTTGAAGATTGCAGGTCGCTGTCCTCAGGGCAATTCTACTAATGCTAGCAAGTAAGCGTGTCCTTTTGGAGCCAGTTGGACAGTTAGATACCGGTAAGCTATCTGATTTCATCACACACTAATTAATAAAACTATGTGTGCTGTATTTAGATAGCACATTTTTAAAATGCATATGTAAGGGGCGGCTTTCACGTAACTGGAAACTAATGGCCTGATTGACCAAGGTTGTAAGCTAACTCTGGCAATTTAACAAGAGATCCTTACCTTACCATCATTTATTAAAAACTTCCATTCTGTTTAGAACTGGTTGCTGATCTACTACTGTTCCCATTATCCGTTAGCAATTATTTAAAGTAATTTAATGCTTAATTGCTATTTAGAAATTACCAGAAAGGGACAGAAGAGAGGACCTGTGTTTTACTGTATATCCAGAGCTGTAAATGTATTACCACAATAGTTTTTTGCTTTAAAGTGACAATAAACTGAGGAGTTAAATCTAAAAAATGCATTTAGGTACTTTAAATATTATCAAAAATGTATCTTATTTGTGTATCACTCGGCTGTAGGTCCTCAAATCACCTCTGAATTGGTGGTGACATTGTCCTTCCTTCTGGCGGGTGGCTACTTTTGTTCCCCATCTACAGCCGAGATACACAAATAAGCTACATTTTTGTTAATAGTTAGGGTACTTAATGCATTTTTAAGATAAAAGATACAAATTCTGAGTTTAGTGTCACTTTAATTCTAATTTGATGAAAATAATAGATTACAGGCCTGTCGAACCTTTAGGCTGGCTCCATACCTATGCACTGAGCTAATCGCAATGCACGGAGTAAAGACCATTGCAGTGCCACTCATTTTAAATGGCTCTCCAATGCACATATACAGTAGATATGTGTTTTTGTGTGGTGCATTGGCAATAATAGTACAAATGTGTTCTTTCAGGTGTTAAATGGGTTGCCCTGTTGCAGTGCATCCCAACACTCGAAAAAGTACGCATTAACACACACATAAGTGTGACTGGGTCTGTCATAAATAGTCTCTCAGTCTCTTTCTTTACAGCTATTAGCTTTTATCTCCTGAGTCACTGGTTACATCCTTGTACATACTAGAGGCGGATTCTGAATGATCTCAACTCTTTCTGCACATTTAATTTTCTTCCAGTGTTGATTTGCTGTATTTTTCACTTTAACATTAAAGAACAAATATTTCTGTCTTCTTTTTCTGCCTCCTGCCTTTTCTTCCAGTGCATGACTAATCATGTAGTTGAATCACTTCTATATTTAGAACTACCTTTTTGAGGACAAAGTTGCCAGTATTTTCATGAAGTGAATTTTTCAGGTATACTTTGCAGCTGAAAAGTTGTGGCTCATTCAAAATTCCCAGAGGATTTTGGAATACCAGAATTCCATCATGGCAGACAGAGAAAATTGGTTTAAACGGAACCTGTCAGCTATTGATTCTTATTTTTTTTAGGTGTTAACTTCATGGTATCCCTCTGTCCTTCCTTCACCACTTCGTAAGTCACATGCAACAGATGTCATATCAGCTTCCAAGATACCTGAATTGCATATGCTTGTTAAAGGTCAGTGACCCACAAAGTAGTAAAGAAAGGACAGACTTGACAGCATTGGATTCTGTACCGTAAAACAGCATTTCTCAACCTTTTTTCAGTCACTGCACCCTACGCTTTG